TGCACTCACTAACATTATCGTATTCGATGCTGCAAAAATGCAAAATGCGGCCAGCAACGAGACGGCGGACAGATACCATTTGAAACGAAGAAAGCGATGGAGCGGAGAATACGTGAGGCCAGCCAAGAACACAAATTGTTTTGAACACGATAACATCAGCGAGGGCAAAAAATCGCCTTTTCAGTTTGATATTTTGAGGCTGTTACGGTGTGTGCAGTGTGGTAATTCTCTGGATTGGCAAATGTTAATTTCTTGGCAGCGCCCCTTTGATCATCAGCATGCAGGACACTACTGCGATCACGTGAGGAAGCAAAACTTGCACGGAAACTGCACTGTCCACTTAACTAAGAGCCACTGCACGCTGCATATCAACGTGTTGCGAGTTAGCAAACAACGCTGAATCCCATAAGACTGATATGCGCAGACAGTGTGCCGAACAAATGGCCACTGCAAGCAGGTTACAGGAGGACAGAGTGCCTGGTACCATTATGATATTTGAGAGGGCTCATCCAGGCAAGCCTGACAATAAAGGATGCATGTGAAAAAAAGTAACGGAAAATCATTACACCGCTGCTGTGATTTTTGTCATAGAGGTACAGCCACGCACCGCGCTATGCTAATGAGGAATCCCCAACGGCGATTCTCGAACCTGTGCTAGCCATGCATCTAGACCAACGCTTCGAAGTCCGTCTAAGCCATGAATTTTTCTTGCGATGCGAGACATTCACCAGTGGTCATCAAAGCATATATTGCTTCTGCTCAGTGCATTTCATGACATTCTCAATTTTAGCCACTCTTTTGCTAGCTCGGAGTCACGTAAATTACCATCTAGTTCGTACCCGCCACTCCATATGCACTATGCAAATAAGCCCTTACAAATCTATTCATACTGGTGCTCATGACAGTTATGGATCAGCGCGAGAGACCACTAAAATGTCAGCACAAAAACCAAACAACAGGTGAGGATGCCATTGTATTTGACATTTCATTTCGAAAAAAAAGAAAGCAGGAAAAACGAACGACAGGGAAACGGCAAGCTGACTGATCATGAGGCAAAGCCGTTTCGGTTATAGCAGTGCAAGAGGATATGCTTACAACGAGATGCGACGAAAGTATCAAAACGATCATTTTGCTTGTTACTGGTGGTACAGCTAGTTCTATGCCCAATGTATAAAAGAGGAAATCGTCATGTTCTCGACATCAAAACTAGTAAAATATAAACTATGAAGATGAAAAAAAGTGCAAACAACGAAGCCAACCTATCTGCTCCTGCTCTTGCAACACCGCGTCACTCCTTCGCTGGTATACTCTCGGGCCTTCATATTTCGAAGGTAATGCCTCAGCCAGAATCCTCCAGTGCACCTCATTAGCACGAGAAACTTCACGCTGACGTCTCTTCACCCGCCAAAGTCTGCAGATTAAAAGCAAGCTGAGTAGGTACTCAGTCTTTCACAGTATCATGAGAAACTGCCAACGCTTGCGCTTGCACAGGAAAATTAGAACACACTGAAAGGCTAGATGGAGGGGCAAACAGAAATGGCGCTATATTTTTTCAGGGTTTGAAAATTCTGGAAAACTTTGGCACAGCAATTTTTAGCGACTTTAGGAAGCACGGTAGCGAATAATTCGAATAATTTGAAAGTTTTATAGTAGTCACCCGGCTTGGATTACCGGGATCGATGCACCCGGTTTATGATGCACTTAGAAACTCCTCTCAAGAGAAGGGAAAATGGATGGAAATTAAAAAAAAATTTTTTTTGATTTGCTCACGTTCAAGTAAAAGTGTGGGAAAAATACTAATGCTATAGAAGGCGGATGTAACTGCGGTGATCTGAAGGAGCAGCAAATGAGAAACGAAGTTAAATAAAGCAATGAGTGGAATGCCAGAACGAAAGAGGGGACAAAGACAGATGAGCTGCTGACAACGCAAGAGAAAACGAATCTTAGGCATGCAATCCAGTAAGACACTACGATAAACGCAAAGCTGTAGGGAGAAAAGTTAGCCCAACTAATTACACATGGAATAACTATTATTACTCATAAATACATAAGCAAGTAGGATTGATTGAGTTAGAAATCTGCCTGTGTTTCATCCCGAAACTGTGAATCCGCTCAGATTCAAGCAGGACAAGACTGGACTCATCAACAAAGCTCTAACCCACTAAATGTTTGGAATGTAAGTGCAATGCTGAGTAAAGCATAAGTGAAATCTGAAAGGAACAGCAGGGAAAACACCGGCAACTCCCACGATGAGTAATGGCCATTAAAGAAGGGAGCAGTGCTAATCTGACAGACTACACAAGTGATAAAAAACACTTGTCTCTCCGCTTTTGCACAAAAAAAGGAAAACATTATTAAGCTGAGAGCCAGACGATGCGGTTTTGGCTGGTATAAAATCACCTCGCATTGCTTAGTTTGGTGTAAGTAGAAGAGAAACATGGTCCTCTTCCTGTTGTCTTGAATAGTGATTAGGCTTTGCTTAGGCTAACTGAATCGAATGCTAGAAGTTACCAAACAACGTACTATATTGGAAAAAAATTAAAAATATTTTAACAGTAAGGCAAGGCTGTCGATGGCTTACTCTCTTTCGAGGGTTGCTTAGAAGCAAGCTAATTTTAACAGGAATTAATCCGAAGATTTAGCATATGGCTTTCATGCCCCTTAGTCGAGTACTAAGAGATATGATCTCAAAAAATATTTCAATACAAAAGAAAATTAAGTGGTAGCCAATTCAAAAATCAATATCAAGTGGGAGGACAAATAATTTAATGCATACCTAAAATAAGTTTTAAGGCCGAAACCAAACGTTACGACAGGATAACCAATACAATGCGCAGCAAAAGGACGACAGAGATCTGAAGTTAACGATGGGCTTTGCGCAAAAGCGGCCGTCAACGCAACGCCAAAACCACCCAAAAAGCCACCAGCAGTAGCAGCGGAGCCGAAAATTCGCGGTGCTTCAGGTGCCGGTCGGCGCTCTCTTGAAGAATCACCAATCTCAGCCAACTCACCATGAGAAAACTGGCGAAAGCCAAGCCAACTCGACAGTGAACCGCCTGGAATTCTTATCTCAATGATGCGCCGTAGTAACCACTTCCTTCAACTGAGCTGAACAATTTTTGCACATACGCAATTATGCCTTTCAAAAAACTCCAAAAGAAGTCTTTTCAATGTACAGACAAAAAAAATGTTTGCATAAAACAACCTGTGAGAAAATCAAGCGTCGAGCCAACTGCTGAGCCTTTCAGCAACTGCCACGGTGTATCACCCCGATAACGCCAGCAATACTCAAATGATACTAGCGCTAGCCACAGCAGTAACTGAGTTGATCCAATACCTCGTTCCGCTAAAAGAACGTTTTCTCAGCGGAACACAGAGCATGTCATCTTCCAGCATCAGCAACTCTGCCATCCAACTCGAGATCAGCCCGATGTCGATGCGGAGATTCACTATTACTGAGATGTGCCCACACAACAATCACAATTTTGTGAAGCTTTCTACTTCTGGTGTCGTCACTCACTCAACAGAGATAGTGTATGAGAAGGGAAACTTGCGGAAAGAAGATAAAGAAGCTGCAATGAAAAGAAAGATGAAAAAGGCCTATGGGAGGCGGGAAAGAAAAAGATGCATTCTGCCTCAAAAGGT